GACCCAGGAGTGCGCTCCGTTGAACCCCCTATCCCCCCAGCCCCAAAAGAGCACTCAGTTGACCCCCCCCCCCATCCAGGCCGTTTATACTACTTGTATTCTTTTTTTTCAAGTAAGTTGTTGCTATGTTTTAACAGAGACGTATAAGAGACCCTCTATTATACGTCTCTGGTTTTAACTTCTAAGTTGCTATGCACCGCAAAGCATTATTGGGAGTTTGGAATTTTTTCACGCGGTGAGATAAAAATTTCTTGGAACAATGTGCAGATTTCAACCCGAATTTCCTCCATTCGTACACGTTAGTCTATTGAGCTCGCTACGCTAGCGACGCTTCGCGCCGCCTCGCTGCGCTCGCTATTAGTAGTGTCCCCTCATGAAAAAATTGGAGTGGGATCTCGATGCTATTTTTAGTAACATGTATCTAAAAATAGTCATATTTAAGAAAAATCCAAAAAATGAAATTTGGGCAGAGTTTAAGATGCCATTGCTAGGTAGTTATGAAATATACAGTAAAAGTCAATGTGCTAATGTCAGAGACTGGACACCAATAAATACCATGCATATTATTTTCAGGGATTTCCATTTTCTATTTATAGCTTCAAATGCATAAATATAGACATGTCTCATAAAATGATGAAAAAGGACAATTTTCCCTCATTTTGAAGCTCCAGTGAATCATAAATAATAAAAATATGGATATCTCCAATATTTCATCAATAAGAACAAGGAATAGTATAATATCTCACAAATTATTGAGGACAGGCTCTCATCTCTATAAATTGTACAAATGTCTAAAAATAGACACATATGAAATTAACTGTTTAATGTTGATTTTCCACTAATTCTCAAATTAGAGATGGGAAATTTACCGACTTACTGTCATTAACTGTAACTGATATTATGTGACTGACAAGAACAAAAGAACATTCAATGGAATGCAGCATGATCAGCAGAGGTTTCCATTTCTATTTATAGTAACACGTGTTTAAAAATAGACGTAATGCAAAATAACGGGAAAATGTCGTTTTTTTGAACTTTTTTCTAAAATTTTGGATGAATAATTGCCGACTGTCTGTTTTTAACTGCTACTGGCATATGGTGACCAACAAGTAAAAGAAAGCCTTATATCAAATACAAAATGAGAAGCAGTGGTTTCCATTTCTATTTATAGTAACATGTTTGAAAATAGAGGTACAGCAAAATATCAGAAACATGTAGTTTTTTGTACTTTTTTTCTCACATTTTGGATGAACAATTGCAGAATATATGTTTTTAACTGCTTATTGGCATATGGTGACCAACAAGTAAAAGAAAGCATATACCAAATACAGAATGAGAAGCACAGGTTTCCATTTCTATTTATAGTAACACATGTTTTAAAAATAGACGTGATGCAAAATATCGGAAAAATGTCTTTTGCGTACTTTTTTTCTAAATTTTTGGATGAATAATTGCTGACTATCTGTAGTTAACTGCTATTGGCATATAGTGACCAACAAGTCAAAGAAAGCATTATCTCAAATACAGAATGAGAAGCAGAGGTTTCCATTTCTATTTATAGTAACATGTGTTTAAAAATAGACGTACTGTACACAATCGGAGAAATGTCTTTTTTTTAAAACTTTTTTCTAAAATTTTGGATGAATAATTGCTGACTGTCTGTTTTTAACTGCTATTGGCATATGGTGACCAACAAGTAAAAGAAAGCCGTATATCAAATACAGAATGAGAAGTACAGGCTTCCATTTCTATTTATAGTAACATAAGTTTAAAAATAGACATACTGTAAACTTTCGGAAAAATGTAGTTTTTGTATTTATTGCTATTGACAATCAGTGACCAACAAGTAAAATAAAGCATATACAAAATACAGAATGTGAAGCAGAGGTTTCTATTTCTATTTATAGTAACACATGTTTGAAAATAGACATGCTGCAAATTCTCCAGAAAATGTAGACTTTCGCACTTTTTTTTTTCTAACATCAGGGATGGTCAAAGTGCAGACAAACGGCTTTTATTTAGTGTTGGCAATGAGTACCCGGTTAACCGGTTAGGCTAATTGTATTTGGTGCGTCGGCGCACCAGCGCGTCAATCTCGTCCCAATATCACAAAAGTATTTTCTCCCTGCATTAAAACACTCAAATGACCTGGATTTTCTTTATTTAAGCATTATCGCTTATATTCAAGTCGACAGCCCAAACCCGATTGTATTTTTTATTGGGTGGATCCATGTTTACCTACTTTCGATTTCTCTCTGTATATATTAATAAATCTTATCTTATCTTATCTTATATATCCCCAAACATTAATAGCATTTAAAAATATTTAGTGCTATGATTTTTATGTAAGACAAAAGTTTACTGGTATAAATAAATATATATATATATATATATATATATATATATATATATATATATATATATATATATATATATATATATATATATTACATAAAGACCCTAGACTGTCGAGTTTAACCTCCTTTTTAACAGACTTAATTATTAGGACAATAAGCTGCAATACATTGGTATCAATGTTTGACAAAGATTCTTTGATTCTATTACTAAAATTAACGCATAGGCGTAGTCAAAGGGGGGGGGGGGCAGCGGGGGCACCAGCCCCCCCCCCATTTTCAGATCGGGGGGGGGGGGACGAGTATGTCTGTGCCCCCCCCTTTTTAATGAAGAACAAAATCAAAGCTATTTTTCCCCACCATTACTATTACTATAGCAAATGTTTATTGAAGGGATAGTTGCCCCCTCCCACTTTTTGACCCAAGTATACCCCTCCCACTTTTTGACCCAAGTATAGTTATGAAGAAATGTGGAGGTCACTACCCCCCCCCCCCCCCCCCACGAAATAGGATTTTCGAGTTTGGGAGACTTTAAATTTTTTTTTTTTTGTTTTTTTTTTTTGCTTGTCAAAGAATTTCTGAAGTTGAGCCTCCACCCCCCCCCATCCTCACAACGTCACTGGTCCTGAGTCAACACGTTGCCAACGGCAACGTGTTGACTCAGGACCCCTGACATTGTGAGGATGCCCCCCCCCCCCCCCCACACTTTCAAGTTTGTGACTACGCCACTGTAACATCTTTATTTGAAGAAGGGGGGGGGCTTTAGTTACAGAAGAAGCTGGCCTGTCAACTTAAATAGGTCATTTGCACTGCCGATCAAGTGCCAGTATACAGAAGGTCTGCTTCCCCATATTGCAGTGGATGACAAATCCCACTGCGCGACACCAAGGGCTAGTGAATTTTAGGGTGGCCAAGTAAAATTTTATCAACCACTCGCCTGTGGGCAAGTGACATATCAAAAATAAAATCAAATATCAAATACTTAGATTTGAAGCTGGGCATATGGGCCTACATGATCTTCTTAGTATTTGTCTTCCTTTTTTGAAATATTTATAAATACAGTATTAGTTTATGGTAGAGCAAGCAACAAATTAGATAGGGTAAGTGAATTTTTACCTTATGTACTTGCCCTTGGAAAAAGTGCCTTAAAGATCTATTTGTCAGCTCCTGTATAATTGTAGTCTTCTCAACCACTTATCTCTGTCATTAAAAATCCCATCATTCAAAATACATGTACAATGGTTCCATGAACATTCTTTTAACATTAATTTTTGTGTTTTGCTGAGTGAAAATTAAAGTAGAATTTGATGTTCATTAAAGTAAGAAGCATATCAAAAGTTTTATGATGATCTAAATACTGAATCATTTGCTGATAGCACAAAAATTGATGCCAATGAAAATTGATAAAACCAGTGTATTATTAATTAGTGACCATGAATAAAAAAACCCCACAGGCACTTAAAAAATGATGCTGAAACTTTTAAAAAAGCACACTCCATCTATGAAACTCTCTGTTTTATTTATGATAAACCAAACATCGCCAAAAAAGAAAAAGCACAAAAATCTTATTCAAACAAAGAGAACAAAAAATAAAAACATAACTTTGTTTCGAGCAACATACAAGTTTACATTAGATTGACTAGATTCTTAGTTCATAGTACCCATTCCCAAAGACAGTCTTTTCACAAGAAATAAAACTGCAAGAGTAAAAAATATCAATCTTGTATCCTTTTGAATTACTAATACAACATTAATTCTATAACAAAGAAAAGCATTTTCAATTAAAAGTAAATCAGAATGTTATATACAGAACTAAATTTTTAGTTGATTACAGTGCCATACAAATCCATGTTAAAATGAGACTGGAGCATTTTTATGTGGCATGGCTTCAGTTTAGATCTAACATTTTCAGGAATCTTTATTTTATCAATCGTGAAATGGGGATGTCGCTTTAGAATGCACTCTGGCGCGCAGTGATAGAATGTGGCTCTCTTTTTTTGAGCTGTGTACACCCATTCAGTTTCACCTTGGTTTTTCTGCGGATATAGGTATCGCTCTGGATGCTGCATTACAAGATCAAATGGTTGAACTACTACAGATGTCGGAAAATCTACACCACATGCAGCACATCTTTTGGCTCTTTTTTCATCTTTAAGGAAATTTACTTCAAATTCATCCTCATTGTGGAAAGGTTCAGTGAAAAGTGGCACTGATGATGTAATCACAGGTCTGGTATGGGGATCATTTTTTCCCTTTCTGGACCTTTTTTTCCCAGATTTCTTGGTATGTTTCTCAAGCAGGGCATCAAGAGACACTTTTTCAGAACACGTTTTAATTTCTTGTATATACTTTTGCAAAGATCCCCGGAATTCACTTGCTGCAATAGTGTGTTCACAGAATACTCCAAACTTATTAAAGTTCTGACATTTGTGACTCCCAGTGCAAGTACATGTAAACCAATCCATTTCTTCATTTCCCTCTACAATGTACACATTTTCACTACAGTCTATACATGTTTTGTTTGATGAAAGTTTAGTGAATATGGACTTGTCTCCTGCAAGAAGACCTGCTTTTCTCCAGACATCTCTTAGTTCATGAGCTTTGTAGATCGTAGCAGTCAGGGCATTGTATGTTTCGGAAAGGACTGAAGGTAGGTATGGTGAGTTGGCAGTTCAGTAAATTCTGCATTATACCTGAATACTTTGGCAAGCTTGTCCTGTTTTTGGTCTTTGTTTAACTGAGACCAGTTAAGTGTTGATACAGAGAGATGATTATAATCATTATGTAGTCTATATTCCCCAACGTTGAACACTCCTTTCTCCAATTCTTGATACTGCGTGTGGATAATGTTTTGTAGAGACACCGCCATGTTCTCCCAGGACTGTTTTTTATAGTCAACTTCACGCTTCAGCACACTATTAATTGACTCGTTGTTGTTGTTTGTGTATCTTATAGGAGGATATCCTAGACCTGCAGCTGTTCTTATTGGTTTTAAAAGATTTCTTTTACACTCTTCGGCTTTGAATTTCTTGAACCAAGTAAAAAAACTCAGGGGGTTTTCTTCCAGTTTCGGTAACTTCAATTGCATCCCACTTCCTGCCCAAATTGATGAGGGATGAATCAAAATCAGACTCTGTTTCACAGTCAATGAGCCCTCCAATGCGTTTGTTCCCATGCTGCTGTCCATATATCTCATTCAAAAATAAATTTATGTGAGTTTCTTTAAAGTTTAATGACTTAAGCTTTCTTTCACAGTTTTCTCGGGCATGTATCTCACAAATTAGATGGATTCCTTGAAAAGCGTTACTTTTTTGAAGGCCATTTATGAGGGCTTTTTCTCCATCTGATCCCCATACATTTACAACGTCATCTTTAATATATCCAGAGAGTGTTTTGCCGAAGTATTCATAGTCACTGGTTTCTCGTTTAAGATGCATCATACATGGACCGAGTAAAAGAGGGTGTCTGCCACTATCTCTGATGACAAACATAGGGTGTCTGTAAGTAGTACATGTAAGGTAAAATCCTCCAAGATCAAATGTTGGATCTATGCCTAAAATGGAATCTGAATTGCAGCAAAATTTTTTCACATCAAGGAGTTGCTGATCTGTTGCAAGGAAGCACCTGGCATGGCCATTTTCTTTCATTTCAAAACTTCGAGCAAAATTGCCCTCAACAGACATCTTGATAATGGCATCAAAATTAGTAATACATTTTCCACCAGTCTGGTATTTCCTAGGGTTGCTTCTGTTAATGTTGTAAATTTGAGGTCTGTCTCTAGGTATATCTGATGGTGATTTGAAGTTCAACGATACTCCTTCCTCATTGAACAAATCTGCAACAACTTTCTTGGGCTGCATATAAACAGATTTGTTCTTCATTTCTGCAATTGCACTTGGTTTTGTTCTAATGAAAGGATTTTCTTTCTTAGAATTTCCATGTGGAACATTTTTTAAGACAGGAACAACTTTTCCATCTTGGAAATAATACTGTATAATTGCATGTCTGAGGTTGTGTCCTTCTGAGTTTCTTATAGTGTAGACAATTTTGTGGAAATCTGGAGTCCCAGCATGGACATAGTAGCTTTTCCTGAGCTGAAAATCATATGATTGAGTAATTTGTCTGCTGGACTTATAACCTCGTTCTGTCTTTGTAACGTACAACTTTGATCCTGATGGCCTTTTCCCATTGTCATCCACAGTCAGATCTGAAAATTTTCTCAGTTTATCAGTATCAACTAAGAAAGTGGCATTCTCTTCGCACTGTAAAGGAACAGTTGGACATACATATTGAGTATAGTTATCTACTTTCATCAGAACATCAATGATTTCTGCAGCTCCACATCCACCAATTTTTCTTGAGAAAATTGGAAAGTCTTTAAAGAATTCTGTTACATTTTCTTCTTCATCAGATGACAAAGGCCCATATAAATCAGAAAACTCTCCAACAGTTTGCTCTTTTTCATGTTCATCAAAACTAATGGTCTCAACTTCAGTTTCTGCTGTTTCCTCCGAAAACTCTCTGACATCATCCTCTTCATCCAGACAAATGATCCTTTTTGCACTCCCAACAAATTCTCCTCCAGTTTTTTCTTTCCATTTTTTTTCGTTAGGACTCTCTTTCACTCCTGTTTTCTTTAACTTGCGTTTTACCAATTTTGGTAGGTCATCCCTTGAAAAAAAGTATAAATGATGTAAATAAGAATTGAAAAATATATTATACAACTGCAAGTATTGAAAAGAGGAATGAAACTCTTCAACATTTCATTAATATTTTAGAAATTAAGGTACCTAGTTAAACAAATGTCCATTGAGCCACATCACTCACCTGAGCAACAAAAGAAATACTCAAATAGGTTTTATGGAGTCGTATACAAAATATGTACACAACGTAGTAAAGGCAGTCTTCTTAAAATTAGACGCAGATCCATTTGCACACTAGCTACACTAACATCTAACAACATCCCATTGTGGGTCATGTCAGGGGTCAAAGTCTTTCAACCAATCAAATTTTTGCCTGCAAAATCATTGTCATATTTACTGAAGCTAATAAATCTATAGATTTTCAGAATTTGACCTCTGACGTGACCCTCTATGGGATGTTAAATGTTAGTGTAGCGAGTATGCGGGTGGATTTTACATCTAAGTCTAATTAGATTTTGGTAAATGAATCCTTAAAAAGATTTTCAATATTTTTATTAAGGTATTTTTATGTCATATATTGAGTCCATTTTGTATTTGGATGATATCACAGTCATATAACATTTTGAGCTATTAAGCATTGCAGTTCTGAAGAAGATCTTCTAAAATTGTTTATCTACCACAGTATATATACCTTTGAAACCCTTGTTCAACCCCAAGAAAACTCAATGAAAATTTGTTACACACAAAAATTAACAGACAGACAGATGGACGCCAGACAAAAAATGATCAGAAAGAAAAGCTTACTTAAGCTTTCAGTTCAGATGAGCTAAATGCTGATTATGATAAAATTCTGACTATTTACAAATATATATGATTCACAAACTTGGCCAGATCAAAGATGCTTAGAGGTTAACTCATAGCATTGGAATAATTTTAAAAATATATTTATGAAATTACTCTTCTGCATCATAAGCTGGGTCTGGTAGGTCTAGACTGTCAGGACTGGATGCTACATTTTCTTTCCTGGAAACATCTGCATTCTGAAATATGATCATTATAATTACTTATACATGTTCCATATATACATGTCTACTAATATCATTTACTCTTATTATTGTGGTAATAATTATAAAAAGATTTATATACAATTGAGAAGTTTTAAGTAGGCAAATCTAAAAACTTACAAAAAGGGTAGCATGGCTACTCTCCTCTGAATCGCTGTCGTCACACTGAAATATTAAATAGCATGTTATATAATACAACAAATAAAGAATACCAAGTTTTAAGTCAAGGTAATGTTTAGGACTTGCATTGATTACATATTATTTCATTCATAATACTCCAGTCTTTCTCTACTGAAATAATAATTTAATCATTTTTCCCAACTTGTTTTTCATAAGCCTCAGATTCAACATTAAAAGTGTCATTTAGGCCAAAATAAAAATATTCTTGTTTCCTGTCACCCGACCTACCCTACATTTTACCCTCCGACCCTCAAAGTTTTTATTACATTTTCATTTTTTGGGTAACTATTTTCCTAAATTATTGAAGTCGACCAACGATACTTACAGAATTAATACATCACAAGTGTACAGGATACCCTTACTTTATAAATCTTGATTAACAAACTTGCTTTGTAAACTGTTAACATATAATTTTCTTGTTATTATATGCTATATGTTCTGCATTCATTGAGTTTTGAAAATAAATTTTTTTCTCAAAATAAAATTTTTTCCCTACCTACCGACCCTAATCTTTTTGGTCAGGGGACAGGAAACAAGAGTATATTTTCTTTTGGCCTTAGATAGTAGTAGGACGAATAAACAAAATTTTCAAAATACATGTATGTACCTTTTTATCAACGGCAAGTTTGACAATTATTTCTTATAAAATTAATTGAATGGATTTTAGTTATTTCATTATTAATCTTATCACTTGTTTCCATAAATCTGAGAATTTTTCTATGTAAATGAATTATATCAATTAAAATTTGGATAAAATGTGACATAAGTCAATATTTTGAACTACTCTCCAGAAAACAAAAACAATAATTTATAAACTTGAACAAGAAAAAGGAACAAGAAATAATATAAACATATCAAATACAACAATACTTACCAAATCTATCCTAAAATAATATGCAATTCATTTAGTTTTCTCACTAGTATATAATATATGCATGTTCTTTTTATATACCAGTATACCATTTTGGTCATTGCATTGTCTGTTCTCAGGTTAGCAAGACACAAGGTGAGAACCTTGTACATACTGCATGCTGCATAAAAGTTAGCTGCAGATCTGTAGCGTTATGGTTTTACATATTTGTCTTTGACCATAACAGAACCTGTAATGTAAAAAGGTGCAATTAACAGGGCAATAATTTTTTAGCACTTTTGGGGAGATTTTCTCCACTTTCTAGCACTGGTCAATCAACTACCTTTTATTCCCTAATTCTTGACACATTCTGTATCCAATATGTATATTTTATTCACCTTCCAATCATTTATAGTTGTCTCTACTGGCAATAATCTTGCTTAACGTGGATTTTCAGCAATCTAACAGATCATTTTAATCAAGCAAGTTTATCACTTGTAGAGACGACTATACAGGTTAAGTAGATGGATGAAATATACAGATTAATAGTTCAATAATGTGCCTAGAATTAAGGAGTGAAAAGTAGTTAACTGACCATTGCTGGAAAGTTGAGAAATTCTCCCCAAAACTGTGCAAAAATATTGCGCCGTATATATTGCACCTTATTAGCATTACGGGATCTGTAGCGTTATGGTCAATCTTTGACAAAGACAATGTTAGACATTAGACAAATATATAAATCCATAATGTTACAGATCTGCAGCTACTTCAAGCACAGGGGCATCTTATCCACTCTGTTTTCTACTTCACATATAAAAATACACAAGGGAAGAATCGAAAGTAGCACATTTTTTTTAAAAAAAAAGTCAAAAAACAACTTACTTGAGAAAAGTTACACCTATCCTGAAAGGAACTAGCGCAAATAATGTCCTAGTACTTATCCAGGCTAAAATATTCTAGATATATCCATCGAAAATAGCTTTTATCCGACTAAATCCCCAGCTTTCTGCACAGTGTGAAACTCTTCGCCCAAGAAAAGATAACTCACCCGGATGACAATAGGGTAGTACCCGATGCCTTCCGAGTGCCATTGAGGACATCAGGTACTACCCTATTGTCATCCGGTTGAGTTATCTTTTCTTGGGCGAAGAGATTCACACTGTGCAGAAAGCTGGGGATTTAGTTGGATAAAAGCTATTTTCGATGGATATATCTGGAATAATTTAGCCTGGACAAGTACTAGGACATTATTTGCGCTAGTTCCTTTCGGGATTTGTGTAACTTTTCTCAAGTAAGTTTTTTTTTTTTTTTTTTTTTTTTTTTTTTTTTTAAAAATCGTGTGGTACTTTCGATTCTTCCCTTGTGTATTTTTATATGTGAAGTAGAGAACAGAGTGGATAAAATGCCCCTGTGCTTCAAGTATGTTTAAAAAGGTTCTTTCAAAACTCTTACCAGGTATAACTAACAGCTTTGAAGTTGCATGTTTAATAAAATATTGCACGTGGTGTCGAGGAAACTCTAGTTAAAACTTAATGAAGCTGAAGTATTGAACATCACTCAATATTTCTCATCAGGCTTCCCATTATTCATAAGAACAATTTTATAATTTATTATAATTTTATATAAATAAACCTAGTAAACTATAATTCAAACCTACGTATACATATAAGGGTACAAAAACAAAACTTACCACGAGGCGGCTTCAGCCATTTTTCAAGAGGAATAGTGCGTGGAATGTCGAGCCCGATGCCAACAAAATAGAATAAGCGATAAATTTTATTATTAACAAAATCTGTTGCGCGAGCGCGCCGACGCGCCGAATACAATTAGCCACCGGTTAACCGTCGAACGATGCGAGTATCGGTTAGTAAAACTGCTATTCGGTTACTCGGATAAAAATACATTTTTCATATTAAATAAGTATAAAATGATTTTTATGTTATTTGTAAATGTATAAATTGACACATTTCCCTATAATTTAATTACCGTTTGGCTTGCTTAAGGATCAGTTTGTTTTGATTAGTTTAATTGATGGCTTTAATTGCCAGAGGTACGTGTTTTGAAAACCTGGGTTATAATAACCTCATTTAAACGGACTTGCGTTAGGGGTACATACTTTAACCAGATGCCGCCGCAAACATCGAGAGCGTGGAAATATTGTTAAAGAACTCGTAATCAGTCAAATTCAAATTATGTGAATCGGAGTTGTCGCATAAGGGTGCTTAATTACTTTAGATTGTCTAATGAAACATATTCCGATAACCAGCGACTTGCAGGAGACTCAACAAAAACAACCAGTATTTACAGGGTATGTTAGTTCTCCCCGATCGCGACATATATATTCTTCATAATTATGTTGATATAATTAATTTCTTGAACAAAAACAAACTCCCCGTTTCAAGTGACATTAAAAATCAAAATTCTTTGAAGATACTGTGTGTGGGGTTTTTTTTAGTCTGGGTTTTTTTTTAGTCGGTATTTGTAAATAAAGTTCATCTTACTTTTGTTGTTTATTTCTACCAATAAGTAAAAGGATAAAATTAATAATAAGTACGGAACTAATAACATAAAATCGTCCGAGTAACCGGGTACTCGATCGGAAGATTAAGCGAGTAACCGGTTACTAAAAATCGTCCGATTTGCCAACACTACTTTTATTTGTTATTGACAGAATGTGACTAACGAGTATGAAAAAGCTTTAGATAAAGTGTCTAAGAATAATGTTTAAGGGTATTTTTACATTTCTGCCTATAGTAACACATATTTATAAATAATCAGGAAAATAAAGAATCATTCGTTTTTCTCAAATTAGCGATACGAAATTTGCAGTCAGACTTTCATAAGCTGTAACTGACATGGCTAATTGTATTCGGCGCGTCAGCGCGTCCACCTCATTCCAATACAAATATCACAAAAGTATGTTCTCCCTGCATTAAAACACTCAAATGACAGCGATTTTCTTTATAAATTAAGCTTTATCGTTTATATTCAGGTCGACATCCCAAGCCCGATTGAATTTTTTTGTTAGGTGGATGCAGAAAATTTTCCCTAGAAGGCGGTGGCTCTAGAAAGAAGGAAAAAATAGTACTGAAAGATGTTCAATTTTGTTATGACCCTAGAGCTTATTGCCATGAAAATCAAGTCTTTAAAAAGGAGATAAAACTCTAGGGTCATAACAAAATACTAGTGAATTTTTAGATTGTTACATTCATGTCGGAAGCAAATTAAAAGTGAAGATGGGGGTCCAAACATGAAATCCTGTTTCATGTGAGGGGGATTGAACTTCTTTCAGTACCATATTTTTAGACACTTCCACTTACCCCTATTCGATTACACTGCAAAATGGGGGCTAAATCTCCCCATTATTAATTACCTATGTGATGTCTATCTTTGAACCCCCCTCCCCGTTCCAACACCTACATGTATGTTTCTACGCAAAATAAAATTTATAAAAACCAAAACAACAAATATTGTTAAATGCTTTAGTTAAAGTCTAGAGAAATATATACATGTATGTATAGAGTAAGAGAAATCGAAGTAAGCCAACTCAAAAAATTTGGGCATATTTCAGATTACTTTTGAACAAATTGTGGTAAGGCATGCATGGATCAAAGGGGATCTGGATCCCTGGAATAATCAACTTTATTATCCCCCCCGCAAACTTCGTTTGGGGGTATATAAGAATCAGCTTGTCCATCTGTCTAGCTGTCCATCTATCCATCTATCTGTGCAAAAGTGTCCGATCCATATCTTCCTTAATGAGGTAGATTAGTATCTACTCCTCTATAAGATTGCCCATGACCTAAGTGTGTGTCATGGCCTTGACCCAAGGTCATTTGCGGAACTTCAAGGTCACTGGAAGAAAAATTTTATAATTCGTGTCCGGTCCAGATCTTTCTTATTGATAAACTTGGTAGATTCCTATTTCACATAAAGATTGCCCATATATATGTGTCATGACCTTGACCCAAAGTTATTTAGGGAAGTTCAAGGTCACTTGAAGAAAAATTTCATAATTCGTGTCCAGTCCATATCTTTCTTACGGATAAACTTTTAGGTTTCATTCACACAAACACTGCCCATGACTTAAGGATGTGTCATGACCTTGAACCAAGGTCATTTTGCGAAGTTCAAGGTCACTGAAGAAAAAAATTCATAATTCGTGTTCGCTCCATATCTTTTTTATGGTTGAACTTGGTAGGTTCTCATTTCACACAAAGACTGCTCATGACCTAAGAGTGTGTCATGACCTTGACGCAAGGTTATTTGGAGAAGTTCAAGGCCACTTGAAAAAAGTTATTATTTGTGTCTGATCCATATCTTTTTTATGCTAAACCTGAATCTACTACTTCACACAAACATTGCCTATTACCTTCATTTTCTGTCATGACTTTGATCCGAGGCCATTAATGCAAGGTCAAGGTCACTGACAGAAAAATTCATAATTCGTGTCTGGTCCGTATATTTTGGTTTTTTTATTAGGATGCGCCTTCGTTTCATTTATGAAAATATTATGAGCAATTACATTTGCATTAAAAATGTTTTAGCACTTCTCTCTTCTCTTAAGCTCCATTTTAAATAACAATTTAGCACCTCTGAAAAACCAAGCGGGGGTATTTAGTCCCGTTTGGAAAGTTCTAGTTTAAACTGACATAGTGATTTGAGACACCGGCTCCTAGGGAAAATTTTCTGCATCCATCTAACAAAAAAATTCAATCGGGCTTGAGCTGTCGATCTGAATATAAACGATAATGCTAAATTTATAAAGAAAATCGCTGTCATTTGAGTGTTTTAATGCAGGGAGAACATACTTTTGTAATATTTGTATTGGAATGAGGTGGACGCACTGGCGCGCCGAATACAATTAGCAATGTTAGTTACAGCTAATGAAAGTTTGACTGCAAATTTCATATCCCTAATTTGAAAAAAACGAATGATTCTTTATTTTCCTGATTATTTATAAATATGTGTTGCTATAGGCAGAAATGTAAAAATACCCTTAAACATTATTCTTATACTCTTTAGCTAAAGCTTTTTCATACTCGTTTGTCACATTCTGTCAATAACAAATAAAAGTAGTGTTGGCAAATCGGACGATTTTTAGTAACCGGTTACTCGCTTAATCTTCCGATCGAGTACCCGGTTACTCGGACGATTTTATGTTATTAGTTCCGTACTTATTATTAATTTTATCCTTTTACTTATTGGTAGAAATAAACAACAAAAGTAAGATGAACTTTATTTACAAATACCGACTAAAAAAAAACCCAGACTAAAAAAAACCCCACACACAGTATCTTCAAAGAATTTTGATTTTTAATGTCACTTGAAACGGGGAGTTTGTTTTTGTTCAAGAAATTAATTATATCAACATAATTATGAAGAATATATATGTCGCGATCGGGGAGAACTAACATACCCTGTAAATACTGGTTGTTTTTGTTGAGTCTCCTGCAAGTCGCTGGTTATCGGAATATGTTTCATTAGACAATCTAAAGTAATTAAGCACCCTTATGCGACAACTCCGATTCACATAATTTGAATTTGACTGATTACGAGTTCTTTAACAATATTTCCACGCTCTCGATGTTTGCGGCGGCATCTGGTTAAGTATGTACCCTAACGCAAGTCCGTTTAAATGAGGTTATTATAACCCAGGTTTTCAAAACACGTACCTCTGGCAATTAAAGCCATCAATTAAACTAATCAAAACAAACTGATCCTTAAGCAAGCCAAACGGTAATTAAATTATAGGGAAATGTGTCAATTTATACATTTACAAATAACATAAAAATCATTTTATACTTATTTAATATGAAAAATGTATTTTTATCCGAGTAACCGAATAGCAGTTTTACTAACCGATACTCGCATCGTTCGACGGTTAACCGGTGGCTAATTGTATTCGGCGCGTCGGCGCGCTCGCGCAACAGATTTTGTTAATAATAAAATTTATCGCTTATTCTATTTTGTTGGCATCGGGCTCGACATTCCACGCACTATTCCTCTTGAAAAATGGCTGAAGCCGCCTCGTGGTAAGTTTTGTTTTTGTACCCTTATATGTATACGTAGGTTTGAATTATAGTTTACTAGGTTTATTTATATAAAATTATAATAAATTATAAAATTGTTCTTATGAATAATGGGAAGCCTGATGAGAAATATTGAGTGATGTTCAATACTTCAGCTTCATTAAGTTTTAACTAGAGTTTCCTCGACACCACGTGCAATATTTTATTAAACATGCAACTTCAAAGCTGTTAGTTATACCTGGTAAGAGTTTTGAAAGAACCTTTTTAAACATACTTGAAGCACAGGGGCATTTTATCCACTCTGTTCTCTACTTCACATATAAAAATACACAAGGTAAGAATCGAAAGTAGCACACGATTTTTAAAAAAAAAAAAAAAAAAAAAAAAAAAAAAAAACTTACTTGAGAAAAGTTACACAAATCCCGAAACAAACTAGTGCAAATAATGTCCTAGTACTTGTCCAGGCTAAATTATTCCACATATATCCATTGCAAAATAGCTTTTATCCAACTAAAACCCCAGCTTTCTGCACAGGGGGTATGTGTTCGCCGAAGAAAAGATAACTCAACCGGATGACAATAGGGTAGTACCTGATGTCCTCAATGGCACTCGGAAGGCATCGGGTACTACCCTATTGTCATCCGGGTGAGTTATCTTTTCTTGGGCGAAGAGTTTCACACTGTGCAGAAAGCTGGGGATTTAGTCGGATAAAAGCTATTTTCGATGGATATATCTAGAATATTTTAGCCTGGATAAGTACTAGGACATTATTTGCGCTAGTTCCTTTCAGGATA